GTTTTAGATTAAATAGGTTTTATTTGTTTTCAATTGACTTAATTGATAATTGGTTTTATTTAATTATTTTTCTTTGAAGTATTGTAAGTGTTAATTAATTAAATAAGCTAATTGGTTTAAATTAGGATAAAATTAGGATTGTTTTCTTTTCTGTACGTCCACGTTGTAGCCGACTTAAGATTGGTGTAGAATTTGACTTAGGGTTTTACATGGTGCCTATATATATTGTATTATATGTATGTTTAGGGTTACAACCAAAACCCTATTCATGTATACAGTGAGACAGAGGGAAACAGAGAAGCAGGGAGGAAAACTTGAGAGGTTTATAGAAATGTTCAAGGAGAAAGGAGTGGAGTGCTTCTGGGTAGAACCAAGAGCACCGGAGGTGTGGAACAGGAGTCTTGGTCGTGGACAGAAGCATCGGAGACAGTGGGTTAGAGTTTCAAATCTGAAACTCAAAGGCAAGTCTTGTTCTTCTCCTTCCCTTTAATTCGTGTTCTGTGCATGCCTGTTTAGACTCCAGGGATTAATCAAGCATTAAAACAGATTAAATTGAAGTTAATATCAATCTTGGAAGCATGGTTGAATCAACTATTAAATCGTTGTATGAATCTGTTTTGTATGTAGGAAGTTGCTCTGTTAAGAATCTGGTTGCATGGGTTTTTAAACTTGTTAGCCTTATGTGTCTTGGAATAAATGCATGATTTTTAATTAATTTTAGGACATCAATTGAACTCTAGAATAAGTTATAAAAATTGTACAGAGCCTTTGAACCCCACCGGAGATGAAGAAGATGATCAAACTACGCGCAAACGGGTCACAGGGGAGTAAAGCCGACTCACCACAAGAGTGGAGCCGCTAAAGCTGTAGAGCTGGCTCCACTTGTGGTGGAGGCGGCTCCACCAAGGGGGAGGCGGCTCCTCTTTTGTTTTTTTTGTTTTTTCCACGTTCTGCCTTCAGTTTGGACTGTAGGGAGGTTTCTAGGTTGGTTCCGGGGATGTGGATGTATAATTATTACAGAGATGTATAAACTATTGGAAAGCATGTTAATGATATTATGTTGAAGCATGCATAAAGATAAGGTTCAACATTAAACCTGTTTGGGGAACAGTGGATGATAGGATTGAAACTAGTATACTGTACTTACTATTTTCTGAAACAGTTGGGATTCTTTGTTTAAATTAAAGACATTAAATATGTCTTAACTGTATACAAGTATATAGTCATTGATCTAGAAACATAAATCTGTTTAGCTGGAATTAATTGATGATTACCTTTTCCATTGATTGCATTAATTATGGTTCTGTTTGGAGGAATTAAATGTGCAGTTTTATTTCATGTATTTAAATGACTAGAACTGGGATTCTAAAATTGTTATTGGATGCATAATTTAGTCATACACATGTTAAACTGTAATTATGCAAATTTTGGAGAAAGGTTGATTAGTATCTGATAATGTTTTCATCAACTGTGTTAACTGGAGGAGCTAAATGTACAGTCTTTTCATTTATATCAAGAACTGTAATGGGATATCTAAATGTTATATTGGATACATAAATTGGTTGTGTACAGGCTAAACTATATTTATGTCTATTCTGGGATGTGGTTAATAAGTAATTATACTGTGTTATTAACTACGGAAACTGGAGGATGGTATGCGCCGGTATGGGACGGTGTCATACTAGGTACGGATTAGTTCAGACACTAAGCCCTACCTAAATTTGGATTAAGGTATGGATTAATCATAAAGGTTAAGTCCATCACCTACATGTGTCATATCAATTGTGAATTGAATGACCTACTATGGTTTCAGGATGGAGTTGTTATACATATATCAGACCACTACACAGATGGAAGGTATACTGTATTAGGAGGAGTAAGGACTTTATATAAATATTATATGGTGCCGTGATATGAGCTTGAGTCTCATGACCATGGTTAGGGTGCGTATATCGCTTAGGATGGATAACTGAATGTACGTGTTGTTCCCTGGTAAGTCTAGGTACTCATGCCCACCTTAGGGTGCGTATTTGCATGTTACCTTCTATTCAGGCTGAGACAAACCTACTGGACTAGCGAGCGTCCTATAATGTGTAATATATACATATATGGACTACTCTAGATATTGTTGAATCTTCCTAGGATGTATCTGCGTATCGGATTACTGTTTGGATTGTAGTAGATCAGGACTTGCAAGTGGGCCTGACCCACTTCTTTATTTTTTAGGTATTCGTCTGTTCCAGGGTTAGAGCTTGGACATGCAGAGCAGATACAGATATTCATTCCTCTGACTATGTAGGAATCTTCTTTATGTTAGCTTTAGACTTTGTTTCTCTTATTTCAAGTTTCAGTTTAAGAATCTTTAATAAGGGGTCCAATGAATGGATTTCCAAGTTGTAGACCTATGGAGTTTAGATTTAACAGATTTCAATAATTATATTATTTTAAGGATTTTCAATTAGCATTCTTTTAGCTTATTATTTTTATTTCTTATTTTATCTTGTATTCTGTGTTCGTTTACATATTAATTGTTTGATATTTCCCTCGGGTTTGGGCCTAGGCCTGATCAACCCGTGTCTCGGATCCGAGGGATATCATAACGTATGCGCGCGTGTGAAGCGCGTTAGATCTAAGCGCAATGGCGCGTGAGGCTCATGAGGCGCATGAGGCGACAGCAGTGAGCGATGAGGTTAGTGGCTCTTTGGTGCATGATGGAGATCGACGGCTGCAAGGAAAATAGTGGAACGACAGTGGTGACTGACTGAGCAGCGACAGAGAGCAGACGAGGACGACAGTGGGCGAGATCTCTTGAGCACGTTGCTTCCCGTGCCACTTCCTTCTCCACCAAAAGCGACGGAGCCACTGGAGGAGCTTGTGATTTGCCTACATCCAATACCGGTGGTGGCGGCGACGAGGAAGGGGGCGATGATGTTTGGGCAAATAGGTTTGTAATTGGTGATAGTTGTGGGTTTGTCATTGCTGTGATGTTCGCCACTGCAGATTTTTGGAGAGATGAGAGAAAAATGAGTTATACTCGAAAATTGATGGGCAATGCCCAGTTTAATTTAATACTAATTTTAGATAGGTGTCGCAATTCTATTGGGCCACGTAACTAGGTGGGATGAAGTTCATCCAACCTGAGTTAAACCCAATTATTGTCCCTCCATTTATTTGTAGAGAAAAGTAAGTAATCACATTTAGATATAATGGAGCATATTTAAAATAAAGGTAAATATGGTGCACCAATTAGTAGACTTTCTCTAAACAAAATTAGGGCTTAGTCACAAAATCATTCTAGGTATTAGGCTAACATACAAAAAAGCAATGCATTATTCCCATTTTAATTGCCAAATCTCAAATGCTGCATTGGATGTCATAAACTTTTTGATGATAGAAGAAAATTCTCAGTAACCATGACCCCAAAAGAAAATTGGGGCATCTTAAATCATTTTTTATCCTTATACCCCCACCATACAGATTAATATTCAAACATTACGATTAAGGATAATAATGTCACTTCACATTTTATTCTCTGTCCCAAAAAGAATGTCTCTTTAAAAAATTGGTATGATAAACCTATATGTATGCCTCTTTCAGCCTTCATTTTGGTAAAGGCCTTTATATTATTCCCAAGTGTTGCTAGTTGCCAATTCCTTTCATAGTCTCATTTAAGCAAAATCTAAATCTATCAAAGACCAACCCCCTTTGTGTTATTTTTTTCCTTCAAGATGATCAAACAAACAGAACAAACAGATTTTTTAGGAAGAGCAAGTCAGAATTTAAAAGTGAGAAGCAATACATGAGTCTCTGCTGATGATACATTTCATCCATGTATATAAAATTTAGGGGGAACTAAAACAGAAAAACAAATACAGATTAAAATGACCTGTCACTATCAAAACCTCAAGATGTATGAAGTCGGATCCAACTGAAACAATTAAAACTCAAAACGGAAGACTTTTTCTAGATGAAATGATGGTTGGAAGTCAAAATTCTCAACGTATCGTCAACCCTTGCACAACAGCTTGTGTGTCGTCTTCAGTTATCTTGTTAGCTTGGATGGTACTAATGACATTCGCAATATTAGTCTGCCAACATACAACACCAAATGAATGACTTGCCGGAACAATTTAAAAATAAATTAAATTTGAAAAATAAATTATGAACTAGCCATTGATGACCTTGGCCAAAGATATTGGCATTGATTCACCCGAGAATGACCTAGCCATTGAAGCAACAGTAATCTAAATTATGGGCCAAGATTTGGGCCTTTAGAATGGGCTTAGTCGACCTTGTAGGTGGTTCTACTTCTTCCCACCGTATTTTTGGTGTTTTGTAGATTTTGTTGGGATAGGCCTTTGGACCTAGTTGGGCCATTATTGAGGTTGTGTTTTTTTTTTTTTTTTTTTTTTTTTCTCTCTTTCTCTCTCTCTCTTTTCTTAGAGCACGTGTATCAACCCCACAACACAACTACCATTCAAATTAAGAGTACGGTTTGAAAGCGAGACCTCAATCCCTGCAAAGTTAGGGACTCAATTATTGCCTTTGATTAATAGAAAAGGAAAAAAAGAAAAAAATTTGATGACCAACCTACTTAGGTTTAGCCTAGATCATATAAGCTCTCCTCCTCTTTGGGAGGCTGAGTGTTCGAGACTACAAAAATATATACTGTGTATTTACTTAAACTTTCAAAAAAACATAGAAATAAAATTCAACTGGCAGTTACCGGTGTATTTTTATGGGATCACTGGATTTTTTTCCTCGTTATATTCTCTAGCTTTTGTGTAAGAAAGAGAAGACAAAAAAAAATGCCATCTTACAAATTTTTATTTTTTATGAGATTTTTTATTCTGTTTTTTTTCCTTTGATTAAATTATGTTATCTTAGGGTAAATACTATCAAATGCATCAATGGTTGCTTGGATAAAGTGATAAAATATGGGAGTTCAACTTTTTTATACATCCAATCAAAATTTTACCAAGTATAATATGGAAAATGAATTTCACAGTTAAACTCCAAAATCCAGCACGAGCACGTATTAGACTTTCATTCAGAAATTATTATACATATTTCATCAACAATTATTATTATTATTATTATTTTACATTTAAATAAATGTGTTAAAAAAATACTACGTAATCAACACTCCGTCCACTGCTACACATCGTTGAGGCGTTGATATAATCAACTGCCTTTTGAACTAGATACGTATTCAATTGGTCCAAAAAATACGTCGTCGTCCGTCGTCGTTGTCTCTTCATATCCACGAAGAGGAACAGAGGGACTAATAGGGGATCCATACACACTCATCACATTATTCTTACCAAACTCATCTCCACCGCTGATATTCCTATTAACATCCTCTTGCAATTGCAATGCAAACTCAAGACCCCACACAACATCATTTATTGATGGCCGTTCGATCCCATGATCACGCAAGCAACTACAAGCAATCTCCCCAAATTTCCTTAAACACTCTGGTGCAATCTGACCCCTCAGATGTGGATCCACGATCTGATCAAGGTTCCCTTTTCGACAACAACACCGGCCCCACTCAACCAAATTCACTTGTTTCCTTGGCAAACTTGTAACAATTGGTAACCTAGCACACAACAATTCTAACAATACCACTCTGAACGAGTACACGTCAGACTTTTCCGTCAATTGTTGTAGTCGATAATATTCGGGGTCCAAATACCCGAAACTACCCTTCACCACGGTGCTCACATGGGACATCCCAATGGGACCCTTTTTTGACAACCCAAAATCAGAAAGCTTGGCGGCCCATTTCTCATCCAACAAAATGTTGGTTGATTTTACATCGCGGTGAATGATCGTATGCTTCACACCAGTATGAAGGTAGTTCAGTCCACGTGCAGCACCTATGCTGATCAGAAGGCGCTGATTCCACGAGAGAGGAGGGTGGTTTGATTTGTAGAGATGATCACGGAGAGTCCCACGGGCCATGTAATCATACACCAAGATCATCTCACCATCATCAACACAGTAACCAATCAGAGACACCAAATGGTGGTGTCTCAGCTTTGAGAGCATTACGATCTCCGTTTGAAACTCGTGGGCCCCTTGCCTTGATTCAGGATTCAACCGTTTGACCGCAACTGCGATGGGAGCAGTATCGTTGTCTATGAACCCTTTATACACATTACCAAATCCTCCAGTGCCGATAACAAAATTGTCGTCAAAGTTGCATGTAGCTGATTTAATCTCGGCGAGCGAGAAGCGTCGGCAGAGATCGGACGGCAGTGATAAAACATGATACTTCGTTGACTCCGTTGACCTTGACGCCACTGAAATTGTGCCAAAGCCTTTGACTCTTCTCCATTCCCGGAAAATGACGTAACCCAAAATTGACATTGCTACTATCCCTCCAATTACACCTCCGACAATCACCCCAATGAGCAACGAGCGTTTACCGGTAGATGTCACCGGTATCTTCGGTTTCGGTTCCGGTGTTTCAGATACCACCAAATCAGGATTAGGTCGGGCGAGAATACCGTCTGATCGGTTCAATTTGAACAATTCCACACCATTCAGATTTGCATCACATAATTCAGGTTTGTCTTCGACTTTAGGGTGCATCTCGAGCCACAAGTCCTGCTTGATCCGGCGACCACCAACATCCGGGACCCGCACAACATAGTCTCTGTAAACCGGAATACTATTACCACCACTCCAAAAAATCACATCCGCTATATCTTCAGCCGTCTGATTGTTAAGATATATAGTGAACACCCTCTGATTAATTTTAGTCCCCTCCACCGTAAAATCGCAGAAATGAAGTCTCACAAGATAATCAAACCCTGAATCAACACCAAAACTCCATGTCAAATTGTAGTGTAAACATAGGTTGCCCATAACCCTTGCGGTGTTATAAACCATCTCAGGTGCAGTGTAAGCCGGTGTTGCCGAACCGTAGTGGATCGGACCATTCCCGCGAGTTGACACCCCGAAACCACCAATTATATACGAGTCATCTAGTTCCCACGTCCGAAACATACCGGTGTCATCGTTAACGCTGACGGTATTACCGCCGACGTTTAACTGGTAAAGGGTTTCAAGAACTGTGCTGCTATCAAAATAATAGGGATAATCAACACCGGCGCGTGTGATGGCTTCATCATTGCCATGCATATAGAGCTTATCCGGCATGGAAAGGAGTTCGATACCGTTGATAAAGGCGTAAGAGTTGGGAGATGGTGAGAAGGTTATGTTAAGGAGTGTTTGGTTGCCTCTGAAGTTGAGGATGAATTCTTTGATGAGGGAAGCAACTGGTGGTTGGATTGAAGAAACGGTTAAGAAGGCACTGAAGTTGTTTAAGAGAGTGTAGTGATTGGAGGTGACGGAGAAGAAGGATTGGGTGGGGTCGAGGTCGAGGTCGGAGTAGGTGGTGGGGTAGAAGTAGAGGCGGAGGAACTTGGGGCCGGCGGTGACAGGGAAGGTGTAGGTGAATGGGGAGTGGAAGATGCGGGCGGTCATGAAGGGGACTTGGGGGACGGAGGGATCTTGGTGGGAGGCGGTGGAGGGTGAAGAAGTGTTTGGTGAGGTGTTGGAGAGTGAGAATTTGGAGAGGACATCGCCGTCCCAGTTGCGGCCGTTGGAGTCGGTGGTATTGGTGGAGGAGCCGCAGTTGAGGAGCACATAAAAGGTGGGAGTGTAGGGTGCTGCTGTGGTGGCGATGGTGGTAAGGCGGAGGACGGTGAAGAGGTAAAGAGTGAAGGTGAGCATTGGTGGTAAGTAATCGTGGAATTTATTGATTGGGAAGTGAATTATGTTGAGTGCAATGAAGAGAGTCTTGGTGCATAGTCTTTGAGTTGGGATTGATATATGGATTGATATTTTTGAGTGTCAATTTAGATGGGCGATTTTGGACCCAATATTCTAACTTATTTCAACTTTTTTGACAAATGTGAATAAAAAAATAAAAAACAAAACAAAACAAAAATGTTTAAGATGGTTATTTATCTTCCAAAGAAGAAAAATGTGAGACCTATTACTGGGTGTATATAGATAAAGCATTTATAAATATTGCAACAGTTCCAAAATAGTAATGCTCTAGATACAATTCTCTAGTAAATTCTTCATATTTAATTATTGAATTAAAATAAATAAATTATTTAGTTCTATCTTTTAATTTATGAATTAAAATGAAAAGCTCATGGTGAAGAAATTACCTTGAAAGCATTACCCGTAAACTTATTTATTAGAAGGGTCATGAACATTCTATATTTAATTATTAAATTAAAATAATTTTTTGAAATATATAATAATTTAAATAAATTATTTAATACATAGGTCGTGTTTATTATATAGAAGCATGAGTTAGTGATTCTAGGCGACACAGGTGAAAGAAGCATTGGATTGGGTCAAGACAGAGGGTAGAAGCATTGACGGAGCAATTTGGACCCGCAGGTGGTGATGGGAAGGTGCGAGTGAATGACAGGAGTAAAGGAAGGAGTAAGAGAAAATTACTTTTCATAATCATCTAATTTTTTAATAAAGTTAAATTCAAAAAATATATGAAAATTTTAATTTTTGTAAAAAGTTATATGAACTTACACTAATACCCTTTCTTTTATCACAAGTTTTATATTGGTCAGACCATAAAATCATCATTTTCTTTAACCTCTCATAAAAAATTCATTGGCCTAATCAAGAATTTATTTTTTATTTTGCTTTTCACCATTAATTTTCATCTAACAAAAGACTGAGTTTAAGTAATTTCATGGCCTAATTAATAATTTATTTTGCGTCAACAACTTGATATTTAAAATAAAATGTAATTCGCAAGTGCACGAATTTATTAGAGTATAGATATGATTGACAAAAACGAGGTCGAATCCAAAGAAATGCTTTTAAAAAATACGTAATATGAATCAAAACTAATTTAAGTGTAATCTATCAATTTGATTTGAATAATGGATTTGTTATACTAACATGCAAGAAATAAAAACAATACAATTGAAATCAATTTAAAGAAAATACTAAGGTAAATACTAAGGTATCGGATTCCACCACCATTAATCTCATAAAATCTTAATTTTTCATTTATCAAATTCCAAAGGTAAGAAAAACAATTCGGGTGTCACTCCGTTGCTTCCTAATTTAAGATTAAATTTTTCTTTGCTTAAAACAGTAATACTCAAAGCATCAAATGTAACAAACTTAATGAAAAACACAAGATCAAAGATTATTACTCAAACAAGAATTAATTATAATAATTTCTAACTATTAATAATATATTATATTAATGATAAAAGAAACTTAAAATAATTAATGAGAAGTGAAAATTATATATATTAAAATCATATAAGTAGAAATCAATAAATGAAAGTCTCCTTTTGCTCTCGGCTGACACAATCCATTCCCCCATCATTCTCTTTTCTTATTTCTTATTTTATCTTTTCTTTTACTTTCTCGATTTCATCCCGTTTCAGTGCACAATGCATACATATATATATATATATACATATATTCATTATATGATACATTCTGATGATGTGGCGCTTGGCAGGCCGGTGATGATGTGGCTGGATGGCGGACCTGGCTGCTGACGAAACGCTGCTGATGTGGCACTTGTTTGTTTAAGATTCAAAAATTCCAAATCCTCTTAAATGTAAGGATAAGACCCAAGTAATTCTTCTGGAGCGTTGCTCATGCTCAATGTTGCCTGCAAAAATACATAATCTCTTTTACAGTGCAGTCATCTTTCCCTTGTTTCTCAGTTTTATTCCAGAATTGATCTTTTATTCCCAATAACTTAAAAATATAAAAATATTAATTAATTAATAAATTAAATTAAATTAAATTAAATTAAGTACTAATATATATAATTTTGGAAATAAAATATGTAAGAAATATAAAAGGTTTAAAGAATAAGAAAATTACGGCATAGCTTTTTCATTGAGTAAAATCATATACATATAGCGTATAACTGAAATCCTATTCTAAGTAAGTCAAATTTACACTAAAGAAACTAAATAACACTCAGAATACTACATATTCTAAGTAAGTCAAATTTAGAAAAGTAAATAAAAATCAGAATACTACCTATTAAGTCAAATTTACAATAAGGAAACTAAATAACAATAAACTAAGAAGTCCTAAGAATCCAAGATTATCGATTTTCTCTATCTTGCCCCCGCAAGATGGAGCTCCGAGAGGAGAGTCCAATCTTGGTCTTCAAAAATAAAAATCGAGTACGCGAAAGCGATTTGGTGAGAGCATTAGCTAACTGATCGGTAGAGGAGACATGAGCCACTCGAAGAGCGCCACTTTGAACTTGTTCACGGATGAAGTGATAATCTAAAGCAACATGCTCCATGCGGGAATGAAAAACCGGATTTGAGCACAAATTCGTATCACCGACATTATCACAATAAATCACTGGTTGCGAAGAGAGAGAAACACCAAGTTCAGTAAGAATAGAGCAAAGCCAACGGAGCTCAGCGGCAGTAGTTGCAATGAAGCGATATTCAGCTTCAATAGAAGAGCGAGCCACGGTACGTTACTTCTTGGAACTCCAAGAAATAGGATTGCGACCAAGGTACACAAGATAAACACTGGTGGAAGTGAAATCATCTTTGTTACCTGCCCAATCAGCATCAGAAAACGCATGTAAAGACAAGGAGGAGTGTTGATAGAGGACAACACCACGATCCAAAGTCCCACAGAGATAGCGCAGTAATCGCTTAACAGCATTCCAGTGGTCACTAGTAGGTTGATGCATAAATTGAGACAGCTTATTCACTGTATAAGCAATGTTAGGGCGCGTAAGCGACAAGTACTGGAGACTTCCAACAATAGTCCGATACTCAGACGGATCGGAGAGCGTCGTGCCAGAGTGAAATATAAGAATAGGGGCATTGGCAAGAGGTGTAGCTACAGGCTTTGCATCTGTCATGTGTGTACGAGCTAGTAGATCCGTTATGTACCAACGTTGAGATAGAATGAAGCCTTGAGAATGGGGAATGTCTTCAACTCCAAGAAAATAAGTTAAGTGACCAAGATCCTTGAGAGAGAATCGATGACCAAGGAGTTGGATGAACTTTTGCATAGCCCCATCATTGTCACCTGTAATTATAATGTCATCAACATAAACTAGAAGATAGATTATAGGACCGCCGTTGTTGTAGACAAACAAGGAGGTGTCTGTATGAGAGTTGGTGAAGCCAGATGTGATAAGAAACTGGCGCAACTCATGATACCAAGTGCGTGGAGCTTGTTTAAGGCCATAAATAGCCTTGCGAAGTTTACAAACATGATGAGGATAAGGATGATCATGATCAATGAAGCCTTGTGGTTGTGTCATAAATACAATGAAAAAGTTCAAATTGGGAATTAAAAACCGGAGTTGAGCACAAATTCGTAGCACCGACATTATCACAATAGATCACTGGTTGCGAAGAGAGAGAAACACCAAGTTCAATAAGAAGAGAGCCGAGCCAACGGAGCTCAGCAGCAGTAGTTACAACAGAGCGGTATTCAGCTTCAGTAGAAGAGCGAGCCACGGTACGTTGCTTCTTGGAACTCCAAGAAATAGGATTGCGACCAAGGTATACAAGATAGGCACTGGTGGAAGTGAAATCATCGTTGTTACCTACCCAATCGGCATCAGAAAAAGCATGGAGAGACAAGGAGGAGTGTTGATAGAGGACAACACCATGATCCAAAGTCCTACAAAGATAGCGCAGTAATCGCTTAACAGCATTCCAGTGGTCACTAATAGGTTGATGCATAAATTGAGACAGTTTATTCACCGTATAAGCAATGTCAGGGCGCGTAAGCGACAAGTACTGGAGACTTCCAACAATAGTCCGATACTCAGACAGATCGGAGAGCGTCGTGCCAGAGTGAAGTGTAAGAATAGGGGCATTGGCAAGAGGTGTAGCTACAGGCTTTGCATCTATCATGCGTGTGCGAGCTAGTAAATCCATTATGTACCGACGTTGAGATAGAATGAAGCCTTGAGAATGGGGAATAACTTCAACTCCAAGAAAATAAGTTAAGTGACCAAGATCCTTGAGAGATAATCGATGACCAAGGAGTTGGATGAACTTTTGCATAACCCTATCATTGTCACCTGTAATTATAATGTCATCAACATAAACTAGAAAATAGATCATAGGACCGCCGTTGTTGTAGACAAACAAGGAGGTGTCTGCATGAGAGTTGGTGAAGCCAGATGTGATAAGAAACTGGCGCAACTCATGATACCAAGCGCGTGGAGCTTGTTTAAGGCCATAAATAACCTTGCAAAGTTTACAGACATGATGAGGATTGCGTCATAAATACATCCTCAGTAAAAGTACCCTGGAGAAAAGCATTATTGACATCAAGTTGCCGAAGAGACCAGCCACGATTGACTGCAATGCTGAGAACAAGACGAACAGTGGTAAGCTTAACAACGGGACTGAAAGTGTCATGATAATCAACTCCAAGGCGCTGATGGAACCCCTTGGCTACTAATCGAGCCTTGTACCTGTCAACAGATCCATCAGGTAAATGTTTAGTACGAAAAATCCACTTGCAACCAACCAGATTCTGTGTTGGGTCAAAAGGAACAAGTTCCCATGTCCCATTCCGAACAAGAGCATCATACTCATCAGACATAACATGACGCCACTTGGGATCCTTGATGGCTTGAGTCACGAATGTTGGTTCACGGGCATCTGAAGTAGTGAGTTGAGTAGTAAGATTTAATTTATGAATGGGCTTGTGAATATTATTTTTGGATCTGGTGACAATAACGAAGGGAGGGGAGGCGAGAGGCGAGGAAGAAGTGAGGGGCGGTGAGTGGGGTTCGGCGGAAGAA